AAGAGAGACATGACACCCATCGCCGACCATCGGGTACAACAGTGAGATTGGCTGCAGGAACAGGGGTTGTCAGCACAATTGTCCTCGTCGTCATTGGAGCAGTGATAGAAGAGACCCTTCACACAGCACACACAAGTCCCATAGTCAATCACGTTCTGGGCCGAGCAAAGGCACTGTTTGTCACAGATCCAGTCTGACGGCAGGGGCCTCGGGTAGGTGCACTCCTTACATTTGCACTTGCCACAGTCCTCACACCTGTAGGCATGCAGCCCCAAATCTTCCTTGCTCAGTGGCTTGAGCTCACCAGGCTTGAGCTCAGACTTAGGCTGCACCCGGATTATCCCATCAGCAGCAGCAGCAGCAGGCCCCGGGGAGAAGGATGATCCTAACAGTCTCTGTTCAGAGGAGCTGCTGCTGGTACTTGTCCTTGCACTGCTCCGAGACCCTGAGCTGACGGTGCTGATGGACCTGGACAGAGGGGCCCTCGAAGAATGGACCTGCGAGGGCTGGAGCCTGGGAGGCTGGCGGTGCTCGGGCAGACCGTGGAGTCTTTCATGTTTGTGCTGAGTGGAGGGGCGAGGAGCAGGCTTGAGCCCAGGTCTTGGGACCACAGTGGGCCCCTCTGTATACTCATTGGTGTTTCGGATGGCTCTGATCTGATCCAGAGACAAGACGTGTACCTGCTGGGTAAGGGCATCTCTGGGGTCATGGGGCGCCTGCAGCAGAGGCTGCGACCCGTTGCCACTCTGAGCTCTGGCCTCCATCAGGTCTTGGTGGTGTGTTCACTCCAGCGGGCTTAGAACACATCTGAACTCCTGGAGAAACCAAGAGGAAAGAAAATGGTTTACACTCTACGACTTCCCACTCTCTCCACCCACCGGGAGTTGACTCTTCACTTCCCACATCCCCTGGCGAAATGGGAAATGCACTGGTGGTGGGGGCCAGGCCAGGCGAACAGCCACATGATCAAGGCATGTACTCCACAGTGAAAATCCTGCCTGGCTGGACACTCACAGCTCTGTACTCTTGAGATGTGCGGCGACACAAAGCTCATCTTTGTGGGGTCACTTAGCTAACAATCCTTTATTCAAAGAAACACACAATTTAGAAGTCTCGGTTCAATGTAAAAATTGGAAGAAAAGTGAATGCTGGAGCCTACCAGTGCTACCAACATTGTCAGAGGTTAAATACCTTTCCGATTTTGAAACATGTTTGAATTTGCCATGACCGTTTCTTTACACTAAACACCAAATACCTACAACAGCCTCGGTTTAAGTCAGCCTTTTACGTCACACTTGCACGGAGTTGTCTAATCAGCGCCCTTTCCCAATCCCATATGATATAAAAGTACATTTCGAGGACAAGTAAGGTTGCATATTTTAAAATAAATATAGTAGTACAAAGTTATAGGATTAAAATAAGTCACTTCGAGTCCCATTAGGTATCACACGAAAACAAATTCATTAAGACCAAAACGTATTTTCCACAACTCGAGAATTAAATATCCTACAGACCTATGATTCTAGCTTTAGATTCTCAACCATTCTTCCTGTTTTATAAATACACCATGCAAAAAATAACGCTATTTTCTCGTTTGAAAAATACCCAGAAACACAAAGCAAGTAACAGCAATAGGAAAAGTTTTAAAAATCCGAAAGTGTCACGGTTGAAACCTATCATTTTGTCAAGTAATCGCTTAAATCATAGTCATTCTCTGGTTTAAGGTACCATACCCTCTCCCAAGCCCTCATAAACATACAAAGCAAAAACGGACTTTTAATCCAACCTTTGCTTTTTGGAGAAGGGCAGAACAAGGCAGGTGACAAATGCCTCCTAATTCAGAACTACGCAGAGCTGGAAACCGGATCTGCTCACCTCCAACTGCAAGGCACACAAGGCTGTTCTTTGCTTTCACTCGGTTTATCGGCTCTATCGGCGCCCCCACACAGTCCGCAGCAGGTGGGACTCAGCCAGAACCCCGGGGACTTTTCTCCAGGCGGACTGACGCTGTCCAGGGGCCAGCCCGGCCCCTCCTGCGCGCAATCCCCAGAAGCTCAGGCAGGCAGGGGGCGCGGGCGCCTCCGAAGGGGACGTGTCGTGAAATGCACGAGCACACTTCCCCCTCCTCCACCCCCGCAGCTAAAATTTCCCCCAACCCAAGGGAACTGCCATCCAGCCCCAAGAGGGGGAGCCACTCCAACACGCCCACCCCCGCAGCAAGGTCACCACAAGGTGTTTCTGCGAAGGCCCTCAAAACGCCTGTCCCCACAAGTTTCCAAATCCGTCGCCCCGAGGAAGGGAGCCCGGTCGGGACGCACAGCTTGCCCAGAAGTCTATGCACCCACGCTCCCAGAGAGACTCCACCGTGCAATGACCCAAGCGAGCACTGCTTGCCTGCAATCTGCACACGCCTACCTCCTTTAGATCAAGAAGAAAAAGACGTATTTCTTAAAATGGAAGAAAAAAAAAAAAAGCTTTATCCAGAGCCCCACTGCACACGCCAGGGTGCAGGACTCGGACCCCTGGGATTGGAAACTTTCCGTGGGGACTTGCCGTGGAAAGCAGCATCTTTCGGAAGGAAAAAAAAAGTGATTCCTACCGATCCCTGGCCGCCTCCGTCGCAGGCCCCCTCCACCCCCGGCGCTCTCCCAGTTCCTCTCCCTCCCCCTTTGAGAGTGCTTTGAAACCCCCATTAAGAACAGTGTGTGATCAGACTGAGGATTAGGGGGAAAGGACTACAGCACTAGGGTGGGGCAAACCGACACAGAAACCCCTTTGTAAAAAAGGCGTTAAGACTCCAAATCTTAAAAACAGTAACACAAAAGAGGGAGGGGGGAAACTAGCCCTTTTCTTTTCTTTTTTTTTTCTTTCTTTCTCTCTCTTTTTTTTTTTTTTTGCCACCTCCTTTCAGGTAATGGAAAACGATCGCGACCACTTGATAACTCTCTTCCTGTGCTAGGTCAGCCCAAGCGCCCAAATTAAAAAAAAAAAAAAAAAAAGCATGACCCAGGCCGACCACGAAGAACGGAAAAAAGAGAAAGCCGCACTTCCGAACCGCAGAGACGCGGCGCCAGGCTGGGCGACGCTCCCACCCGCACCGGGCTAGACTGTCCACACCGGGCAGAGGCGGGGACTCCCTCCGCCTGGCAACCTACCCTCTGCTTGTCCGCCGGGTCCTCTGCCCCGGTGAGGTGAGAAACCCAGTACCCCAGCCCCACAGGCGCCCCCCGGCCGCAGGATAGGCTTTCCCATAACTTGGCCTTCCACTGAAAGGAGGAACAGGTTAGCAACGTAAGAGCCTGCAACAAGGACCTGGAAAAACAGGGCTCTCGGCGACTAAGTCGCCGCCAAGGCAGGGGTAGGAGCAGAACGCAGTGGAGCGGTCCTCCGCCCCAAACCCCTTAGGGAGCGCGGTGTCGCGGGGGTGGGGTGGGGGACACTGCACCGGCGCAACCCTGCAGCTCAGCCGTGGCCGAACCCATGTCCTAAGCGAAGCAGATCCAAGGGGCAGCTCCCCGATCCTCCCGGGAAGCCTGCGGGTTTAGGGGGAGAGAGGAACCCGGACCCCACTCGCGGCCGGCTGTGGCTCCAGCAGGGGAAAAGCCAAACGCTCCTCACCGTGATCGCGGCTTTGCACCAACCCCTCTCCCTTGGATTCTCTTCTTTCTGCGATGTGCAAATAAATCCAGTCCCCGATGCAAACTTTTCCCTTCTTTCCGAACTCTGCTTCAGTCCAACTTCCAAGTAATCGGTGGGAGGAGAAAAACAACCACGGGAAAATTTGGAACCCAATCCTCCACCGTTGGAACCCTCCCGGATTCCGGGCTAGAGAGATGACCTCCCTTACAGAAGCGCACGCGGAGTATTTCCTCTTTTTTTTTTTTCCTTTCCTTTCCTTTTTTTTTTTTTCTCAATGAACAAGAGGCCGAAGCGCCGTGGTTGGCGAGTCTCTTTTTTTTTTTTTTCCCCTGGTCGACGAGAGAAAGCGAGGCGAACACGGCCTTACAAAGAACCTAAGGCCAGCAGCTCGCCAAGTCCCGGGGGCCCCGGGGCTGCTTCC